AAAATACAACACTCAGCAGAGAAACTTTGATGAACTTTGAGTTGTTTGGAGATTTGGTAAAACAGTGTGTTGAGTGTTTGATAATATCTTCACAGCCAAAACTAAACTGACAAGAAAATGGGGAAATAAAATTGTTAAAAGATCAGATATCAAAACACCATCTCAAGGTAAATTAAACTTGATGAATCATTACTGAGTTTGAGAAATAAAAGTTTAAGCCCAGGTGAAAAGGAATTGTGAAAAAAGTGCAAGATTCTCAAGTTTATTTCCTCTTTTTTGTAAAGGTGGTAGAGAACATAAACTGTAGAATAAGTATTTTTATTTGCTAGATATGATATCCTGTTTATAAGACTTAGTATGGTTTTGTATTTGTTTTTGTTTTTTTTGCGTGTGTTTCACACAAAAAGGCTAATGCAAGCACAACAACATGAAAATTTACTAAAAACGAAAACTTTTGAGCCCTGCACCAACATTTGTATCAATGTGCATGTACTTGTATGGTCATTTCCTGTACAGTATATCCTTATTTAACAGATAATTTTATCATCAGTATTTACCTTTTGGGATCAAAAGCAGTCCCTGTTGAGACCTCCATCTTAACGTTTGTCAGAAATAAACTGATGAATTTAGGAAAATCAATATAAATTAGAAATGATGAGTTAGCTTAAAAGATTGAACATAATGTAATGTTTATTGTTTTTATCCTAACAGAGACTAGGTATGTTGACATCCAAAAAGCGACCCATGAGGGTTATTGGCTGGTATCATTCTCACCCTCACATCACTGTCTGGCCATCACATGTTGGTAAGTTTACAAGGTGTAAATTAAACCAAACTCATGATTTTAATACATTTTGAGCTCTCAAAAAAGTGGTTGTTATTAGAAATAAACCACTGACAATTGCAATATGTGTATCATTGATCAAGTCTTCTTCAGCAGGCAATCTTTTTTTATCTTTACTTCCATATTCTTATTAACCTTCCAACATATGAGGAAATTTGAGTTTTTTACATGTGATTGTTATTTTTTTTCTCTCTTTCTCACAAGACCTTAGGACACAGGCCATGTACCAGGTGATGGATAAAGGGTTTGTAGGACTCATCTTTTCATGTTTCAATACAGACCCCAGCATGGTGAGTTAAGCATACAAGTACACTGTGAGCTGGTCTTTTTCCACTGTCGTCATGGAGTAATAAGTGAAAAAAATATATTTATTTAAGTGTTTTTACTCAACACAGTCATTATATTACCTGGTTAAATTAAATCAGGGCATAATATTTCGTGAGGTATACCCAACAAATGTCATGTGGTAAGGTCAAAATAAGAACAGAGCACAGAATCGCACATAGTTATAATTTAATGGTTTAGAACAGTGCCAGACCACAAAATGAGAAGCCATGGAATCTAAGTCCTACTATAAAGATTATTATCTTAGTTAAGACACCATAGTGCCATAGTCTAACTGCAAATATTTTTGAAATTGGCTTTCCAGTTAAGTTTAAAAGTCATGGAGGCGCGGTGGTCTCATGGTTAGTGCACTTGACTCTGGAGAGAGCAATCTGGGTTCGAGCCCTTGCTGGGGACATTGTGTTGTGTTCTTTGACAAGACACTCTACTCTCACAGTGCCTCTCTCCACCCAGGCATATAAATAGGTACCAACAAATTTAATGCTGGGGGGTAGCCCTGCGATGGACTAGCATCCCATCCAAGGGGGAGTAGAAATACTCCTAGTCACTTCATGCTACTGAAACAGGGATAAGCTCCGGCCTGATGAGCTACTGTGCTTGGCTCATATGCAGACTTTACCTTACATTAAAAGTCATTGTTTGGCCATTGCAATGTTTCTTTCTGTTAATTGCAATCATTTATACTGTCTACAGATCCCTAATTAAAAGATCCTTAAAGACCTGTATGAGGATCTTTTTAGGTCTGGATGAAGATTTTGGAGTATTCTCATTCAGATCTTCAATGGACTCCTTGATGCTCTTGAATGATCTTGCAATTAAGGTCTTTCAGGTCTCTAGCTAAAAGTACATGATCCTGAACTGGGTCCTATAGCATTTGGAGACGATGCATGTAGGATGCTATAGAAAAAACGACCACCATTTATTTTGTATTTTTTCAGAGCGGTCAACTAAAGGTGTATTGTTTCCAATCAGCGAACACAAAGCCCGACGGACTCCCTCCACAGTAAGTACTTTCTCTATGTTACGACCTTACTGTGTCATCACTAGTGGCACATGTGAATATGATGGTCAAGGAGTGTTCCCTTTACTTAATGCTTTAACATTTCCTGGAGTGGCCAATCACACCAGTCTGATTAACTTATTATCATGTCATAAAATGAATGTAAACTTTAATTTTTTGCATTTGTTAAGTTGTGTTTTAAAATTTATCATCATTTGATTTGCTGCTTTAGAAGCAAGAAGAAATCTGGGGCAAGTCTCATGTCACAGTCTCTTTATGGACAGTCAGTGTTTTGTCTTGTCCGTACGAAAGGTTCCACAAGCTACTGCAAGATGAGACTCACCCAGATTTTTTTCTCGTTTGGGAAGTAGCAGATGGAATGTGTGTCAGCCCAATGACTGATGCACTGAACTCTGATAAGGCAGTGTTGGTTCAATCTGGGTTATCCCTGGCCCAGGCTAATCCTCAAAAAAAAAAAGGTGACCCTTTGGTATGATTACCCATAGTTCTTAGTGCACGAAACTTTAACAACGCTCATAAAAACATACAGAAAAGTTCAACTAAAATCATCAAACTTGGTGTACACTATGCCCAGGGGTGTTATTGCCATTCTCAGCAGGAGTGCAACTGGTTTTCACAGGCAGGCAAAACTATTTGAACTGCAGAACATTTTTATTGTAAAAACTTTCCACTAGATTGTCGAACCAGCCAGGCAAAATCATCCTCACAGCTGGTCAATTTGCGCAGTGCCTGGCCCTAACAAAACCCTGGTATGCCAATATTGCAAATATTTGGCTTTCCTTGTACTTTATGGACTGTGTTAGGTCTGCATGGTATTTTGGTAAAAATATGTACGGCCACCACCTTTTTTCTTACAGATGATTACACTTGACTCTCATAGTGCCTCTTTTCACCCACAAATGAGGCCAGCCTACTGGTAGCACATCCTGACCAATCTTTGTAGGCTTTAAAATATCTGTGATGTTCTAGCACCCTGGCAAGGGAGAGTTGTAATATTTCTAGTTACTTCATACAGCAAGGACTAGAGTTCTGAGCCATTTGGCTCCCCCAATCCAGTGCAACTGAAACAGACTTATCATTGTTATCATCAATTTCATGACCATTGAAGCAAGTTACTCATTGTATCAGGTATCAGCGAGCAGATATTGAGCTGCAGATAGTTCATACCGAGGTTTTGTCAGAGGCCACATTGAACAGCTTGTCAGAAATGCCACAGATACTATCAAAGGTGGGAATGCTGACTAACACTATACATGAAGGATAAGCAAATTTTGATGATTTTATTATCGGCTAGCAATCCATACGCATGAAATATATATTTTTTCTTTTTTTATAAAATGAAATGATTGCAGAGTGCTATGTTACTGTAAATACTTCAAATGGACATGATTCAGGATTATAGTGTTTTCAATATTCCTTTTTTAAACATCTAACTCTGCCTTTTGTGTATCTCCACAAAAAGCTACAAATTTGCAGTCGTGTGGAGGATGTACTTCAGTAATTTTAAAATGGCAACCCGACATGATAGAAAAATTATCAGGTCTTGAAATGGAGTATTAAATATTGAATACTGACTAAAAGTATCTTCGATGAATATTCAATATTTCAATTTTCTAATCTAAGAATAATAAGGGACATTTGTGCAGAAAAATAGCTAATGAATGTCAAGCTCTGAAATAGAGAATTATACTTGAGGTTATAATAATTATTTGTTAGTTAGGAATTAGTGGCTGTCTCATTTTTTCCCCCTTAGGAAGAGGAAGAAGCCTATAGAAAAACTTTAAAGTAAGTTGTTAAATGTCTTTGTAGCTCCTTAGTTATTATCACATATGGCACTGGCTGGAAACCCCACCCTAAACTTTTTATTTCCTTAATTATTTATTTTAACCTTTTTTTTTTCCTGTGTCTTTGCCATCCTCATTAATTGTTTTCTGTTTATAATTGCCTCTTTAGTGCTTACATGTACCAACTGTAGTAAATTACAATTTTCTTGTTTTAATTGATAATGCACCGCAATCAATTCAATTTGTTTGTCACTCTGTATGGAGAAGGGATGAAGATGTCATCATTAATTTCTAAGTTAGAGCCTGATAATTACAGGAGAGTGCATTTTATTTACTGAAATATTTTATTTTTTCAGTACCACGGACCTCCTAACAGCCGTTCATAACAGTACAGGTATATGAGAAAGATTTGGAATTGTAATTGAAGGGGCGAGTGCAAAACCATGCTAAGTGACGATTTGGGTGAAAAAAAAAATTTTCGCGAAAAGGCTTGAATTTTTGCATGCGGTCTTCAATGTAATAGAAAAACG